GTGCGCATGTGCCCGCTGGTGTGTGCATATGTCTGTGTGCATGTCTGTGTGCGCATGTGCCCGCTGGTGTGTGCATGTGTCTGTGTGCATGTGTGCACGAGTGCCCGCTTGTGTGTGCATGCAGTGCACGCATTAGCATATTAGTCAGCAGTCAGCTTAACAAGAGTCCAGGCACACTGAGCTGCTGTAAAGTGGTGCGACCTTAGGCTGCCATCATGGCTCAGGACTAGGCGGTTGTCCCGTGACTTCTGGAAAATGCCTCCCCTTGCGCACAGCTCCCCAGTCCCTCTCCCTCAACAGGGCAACCCACAGTAAACAGGGTCGTTACCTGAGGTTTCTGTCTTCCCCAGTAACTGGCCAAGTCGGGGAAAAATGCAAGACATAAGGGTGGACTGGCTGGGACAGAGGGCGTCTATCCTCACCTGCAGGCAGACCAGCCAGAGGAACACCTAGGTGCTGTTGCGCCCCAACTCTAACCAAGTCAGAGTCAAACACAGTTGGTTCCTTCTCCCAGGAGCCTGCGCCACACCGCACGAGGTGAGCCCCACCCACCTGTGATGTTGTCGTAGCTGCGGAAGTTCATCTCGATGTGGTCCCACTGCAGCACCATGCAGTTCTCCATGCTGGGCTGGGCGATGGCCACGTACACATCGTTCTTGGAGTTGAATGTGTCCACCGACACCGACTGGTAGGGCAAGGTCTGATGGACGACAAAATCTGGGAATGGGTGTTCAAACAGAAAGTGTCCATGAGACCATCGGGGGGGTGTGGGCCACGTCTGCCTTCTGCCCTTCGGATCACCTGTTCCAACAGGGCTGGGAAGGAGGGGCGAGGCAGACGGCGTTTACTCTGGGAGGCTGGGAGAGGCGCCTGGCCGACATGGCATTATCTGGCCGACACGGCATTATGCAACAGAAGGCGCAGCTTCTCGAAACAGCTCACAAACGTGGCTGAAAGATCTCACATTTGGAAAGATTTCCAAGAGGTAAGACAGAGATGGTGTTGTAGAACATTCCTGAAACTCACAGCGGTCACCTCGGGAAGGAGGGTGCATGGTCCTGATAGTGGGCAGGTGCTGTGTTTCTGGCCTCTCACCACAGCCTGGGAAGAAGGATGCCTGTTGGTCCTGTGGTTCTGCCCTCACTGTCCGTGACAAGGGGGTTCTTACATCATCAACGATACCCATGGGGCAAGTACTACCATGCTGCAATGAAACTCCCCACATGGCACCCCATAATCCAGAAACGAAAGCAAAGCTTCTGTGCTGGTTGGGGGTCTATAAAGTCCCCAGTGCAGGGTAGTGACTTTGGGGGCTCCTGGGTTTGGAGGCTCCCTGGGATGTGATGGCACTTCAGCTTCACTAGCAGTGAAGGGACATAACTGCACTTTCAGACACGCTCTGGTCTCGTGGCGCGGGGTGCTGGCCTCCCCTCAGCGGGAGTCAGCCTGCAGTCAGGCTGTCCCTGAGCACTGCTGACCCGAATTTACCACAGAACAGGGTAAGCATGCCCCAGGTACAAGGCCAGCTGGTAGGTTGTGGGGGAAGGGGGGAAGGGAACCAATGAAGAAAGCATGTTAAAAACTTACAAAGACTAAGGTTGGTTATTTCCTTGTCTAGGGATCTGGCAACATGGGAGGCTTCTTGGCGAGCTAAATACACAAGGCGTAAAGTGCTGGTGGGTGCTTGGCAAGGAAAGTCAGCCCTATGGGAAAATCTGGGGTTTCTCCATATCTTCCCCACCCAATCCATGCCCACACTTGCTCAAGTCCCACCTCCTCCGTGAAGCCTTCCCTGTTGTGTCCCATCTACAGACTTCCCTAATGTGCTAGCTTCAGGTGAGGCTCTGGCTTCATTAAGTCTTAGTCTCTAAAAGCGGCCACAGAGCCAGATTTGGAGAAAGGGGAGTGATCACAGAGCTCTGAGCCATTTCACAGAGGCAGGAGCCGGTGAGTTCGCAGCCAGTGGGAGCCCAGAGCTCCGAACCCAGGGCTTCCCCAGTCAGGCCCGGGGTCTCAGAGCCTCTGACGGTGCAAGCGCACACACGGCAGCCGGCCAAGAACTAACCCTGCCTGACTAACTAGGCCGCACAGCAGACGTCACGTGACACAGGGAATATGGGGCCCGCCTCGCTGCAGGGAATAAAGGTGGAACAGGCAAAAGGAATAGAGGCAAGAGGTGGGCTGAGAGTTGAGGTTGGGAGTGTGGAGCGGGGTGGGGAGGAGAGCTGAGAGGCAGGGAGGGAGGGTAGCTTGAGGCATGGGAACAGCACTGTGTGAGGACTCAGACTGCCCAACGCAGCTTCCTACACCGAGATCGCGGGTAGGGTACCCCGAGTTCCCGGGTGGGGCACCTCCCCTTATGAGGCCTCAGTTTACTTCACATTATGGGGCAATGGGACTGCCCGAGGCAGCTGAGGCCAATGAGCGCCTGTGGAGGGCATTGCCCTGAGTCCTCTTTGAACAGGGGGACAGACTCCGGGACTGGAGAGCCCTGTCAGGCACCTTGGCCCTCACACAATGGGGGGAGCCCCAGGTCCTCTCTATGATCACCTCACAGTTTCCTGGGGGGAGGGCGAGGTCCACCAATCTGTGTAAGCCGGGCCACAGCCAGCTGTGCTCCTGAGCGCTTCCTCCCCGCCCGCCTTTCAGACCTACCCTTCAAGTATGGCCTCCTAACCCTCTCTGAGAAGCCGGCTACACTCTCCTTCCCTACACTGGCTCCCTCACACGTTAGTCTCTGGTAAAACTCTGCCCGGTTCAGCTACACCTAGCTCTTTGGTGAATTTATTCCCTACAGAACAAAAGGGCCACTCCCTTGGGGTGGAGCCTGTGACTTCATTTTCATGGCAGGGACAGACCAGTGATGCTGGTAGTGAGCCTTGCTCAGGGCTTAGCACATAGTAGGTGCTTGATAAATACAGAATTGAGGTCTGAGGAAGACACAGTAGGTGCTTGAGGAAGGACAGTCTAGCTCCTGTGCCCTAGCCACCACATGACACTCTCAGAAGAGTGTCCACTTCAATGACATCTAAGGTAGGATGTCAGCTGTGCTGAGCGATCTTGGGGAAGTTACTCGACCTCTCTCTGTCTGCGTTTCCTCACCACCTATTAGGACTCACACGCTCAGAACGGTCCCTGGAGCAGAGAGCGCTAGGCACATGTTAGTTTGTGCACGTGTCCCTCTCTCCATCCTGAGTATACTGTGGGTGCTTAATAAATGCTTGCTGGCTTCTTGACTATGGCAGGGTTGGCTGCATGCTCTCTGGCCCACTTTGAGATTGTGGGGGCACAGGTTGTGAGATGCATGAAGGTGCAATAAGAAGAGAGAGAAGCAAAGAGGAGACTGTCTGTGCACCCCAACAGGCAGAAGTGCTCAGGGAGAGTGGCTATCCCCACCCCCAGCCTGGAAAGGGGGGGCATCCTAAGGAGTAGGGACTCTGAGGTAAGATAGGCTGGGCTCGGGATCCTCCTTCCACCTCAAGTTCTGTGACCTTGGTGAGAAACTTGAGCTTCAGGCGACTGAGCAGCAACGTGCGAGTGAGGACTGTTTCCTGAGGTTGCCATGGGGGCTGGTAAGGGTGCAGGTCCGTGTTAGCACAGAGGCCCCCATGGCCATCCTTCTGTGCTTTATACACACAACGCTCACAGTAGCAAGTTGCTGGCACAAGGCTTGGGAAGTCCTACCCAGCTGTCAACTCCCCCAAATACCAGCGTTGCTTGGGCAAAGGCTAACAGAAAAAGCCCGACCTCCGTCCCTTCCTGCTGGCACTGGGATGCACTGTGGGCTCCACCAGGCTTGGCTGGTTCCTGTTCAGTGCCAGTCAACGGGAAAGGAAGGTGGGAACTGTCAGTGCTGGCTGACTTCCTAAGACAGAGAAGGACTCAGAACACAGCTGCATTCTTTCTGTGACAACCCAGAGACTATGAGCCCCTCTCCCGTTACATAGATCTAATCCAAGTCTGCTGAAGGTTCCAGACATTCCTGAGAGGGATGCTGTAACTCAGTCTCCTTGTTCTGGTGAGCCCCTGACTGCACTCTTAATTCTCAGCAACATGAGCACGACTAGAAAAGAAAAAAAACCTACAGGTCATTTACAGAGCAGACCAAAAAGTAGGGGATTTAGTAAAGAATCCCAGAATGAAAAAGCTGTCAGTATACAGAGCATTTTGTAAACCAAGGCTTTCATGAATATATTTTGACCCAAACGCTGATTTCATAACATCTTCCTAGACTGACAACTTGGAACAACATGGGCTCTTAAACCATTTGAACTATCAATGTAATTTGTGATAAGGATCCCCTCCGCCCCCTCTGCAACCCCTCCCTGAAGAGGAGGAGGGGCAGGAAGGGAGAGTAGAAGAGGATGAAATTAAATAATTGATGTGTCTGCGTGTACGGGAGGAGGGAATTCAGGAATTTAAATATCTTCTCCCACCCCCATCTTAATTTATCTTTCTCAAACGTTAAAAGCACATTCACTGTGGAAAGATCTCGATGAATACACATATTGCTGTGACATCCATTTACTAGTGTTAAGTATTAATGGCTTTCTCGGCAGAAAGCACTGCCACTTCCATTCACATTGGATTAAGTTCATGATGTCAGTGGGACTCTTGCAATAGGCCCTGGTCCCACTGGAATCAACAGATTTTTACATATCTATTTATAGCACTTGCAGAAAATAAATTATACATGATGCCGATCCTATTGGGAGAGAAACTGCATGTTAATGCATTATTTCTCTTTGCATTTTCATCAGCCCTGAAATAGGGAAGCTAACAGGACAATTAGGATACAAACTTCACTCCCTCTAAGGAATTTAGTGAATTATCCACCTAACATGAGGAATCATGAGTAGGTATCAGGGATTTCGGAGGTGGTTAAAAATAGACTTGAAGCAGAGGGCTGTGGAAGGACTGTGATTAATCCAGAGAGCTGAAACGGCCCAGTGGTGGCTTGGTGGTGTTAATTACACCTCAGTGCCAGGAACAGAACAGCGCCAGGCCTTCTCTCCCCAGGAAGAATGGGGCGAAACAGCTCCAGACTCTCCTTCTCTCACAGTCTGAGCTAAGGGGAAGGCGATATGCAGAAGGCATGCTTCTTCCCAACTCTGCATTGAGGACGTGATAACAGTGACAGGTCCGCAGACTGGGCTTTCCGCCTTCCACCCTCCTCACTTAGCTCCTCCCAGCCTTCCAGAAAGCACCAGAGCACAAGGCTTGCTCTGAGAAGACAGGAGGCCCCTAAACTCATGATTTATTGGCCTAGTTCTTATGAGGTGGGGAGGAGAGTCACAGCTTCTTGGCACCATTTAGTCATGAAGAGAGAGTGGTCAGCAAGAGCTCCTGCGGTCATGAGGCCTAACGGGGTGAAACAATAGCACAGATGGGATGATCAGCAACTTGTTCCCGGGGAGGGGACAAGACGTGCTAAGGTTTAACAGGAAGTTTGTCAGCAAAGACAAACATACACTATATATTTAGATATGCTATCGCTAAATAAACACATTACATATGTGGCCAGCTCAGCATCATAATCACCCCCAAAGCGCTAAGGGCAAAATCATGCTTTGTCATATAAACTATTCCCAAAGTCCATGTCCCTTCCTTCAGAGGTCAGCAATGTCCTCCTCATGCCATGGTCAGGTGTGAAGAGAACAACAGCAAAGATGCTCGCTTCACCTTGCTATTTAGTGAACTTTCTAGAAGCTCTGGAGAAGAGGCAAAGAGGAGCCCCAACCAAACTCTGGTTGAGCGTTTTATGCCAGCCGGCCCTGAATGCCATCTTTTGGTGTAAATGCCATCGATTCTGACCTTGATTTACTGCAGGTTCCACCACCTAATAAATAACTCCTGGTGGCTTTGGCTGGCGAAAGGGCACTTGCCAATTACACAGGCCAGTAAGCCCCCTTCACTGGTGACAAGGGCATTTCCACAAGATTTCAGGTTTCTATCAGAAAAGACGAGGCTTTTGTAGAGTCCCTATTTACAAAGATATCTAAAAATCACTTTTATGCTGTGAGTTTTTGTTTATCTGTTTGGACGGCAGCAGCAGGACTGAAAAATGTGACATTTTGCTCTTGGTGGGATTTTTGTTTTTTCCATTCCTGTAACTATTTTCTAAGTTCTCAGTCCTGCTGCTCCTACAGATATGCCTGGAGGCTTTGTAGATATCAACTCCCAGCCTAAATGTTTATTTTTGTAAGTCTGGTAAATAGGCTTCAGACTGTGGATTGATCTTCTCCGCTTTATAATCTGGCTTTGGACATGACACATTCCACTGAAGCTTTTCATAGGGAGATATTCACCTGCTCCTCTAACAAGATGTGATGGTGAAGGCAGTTAGGATTTTAACTTTATCTTATGTCCTGAAAAATGTATAAACTGAAACCTAGAGACAGGCCCTAGGGGTGCTAAATCAAGCTTTTCCATTTTCCGTCAGTGAGCATTTGTTTGAAAACTAGTTAACATATATTTGTACTTTGTCTTGCTTAAAGTTTGCCTAGTTATCTCTTTTGACACAAAGCTGCAAAAGTGATTTGTAGATTTACTAGTTGCATTTTCAATAAACTTCATGTTATTTACTGCAGAGAACAGGGACAATGGTGAAGCGAGGAAGCAGCCGTCGGGGCCTCTCCACACCAGCTTTCCATGAAATAGCCTGATGAGGAATGGTCTTACTCCCAACTCACTAGCTTACACTCTGACTTTGGGACCTCCTTGGTGGCTCAGGAGTTAAAGTCTCAGTGCTATCAAGCTATCAACAGCCACTGCAGCCAAAGTTCAATCCCCAGGCAGGGAGGTGACCCACATGGTGCAACAGACCTCTCCTTTCTCCTGATGCTCCCCTCAGCAGTATATTTCAGTAGACCTGCCTGTCCTGCTCCCCACTCTCTCTGGTGAATTCTCTGACCCTCACACACATACCCCTCTGGTCTGGACTGCAGTTCTTGTATGCATGAATAAATCAATCTTTAATAAATAAATGAATAAATCTTTGGAGAAACTTGAATTTTGTCAAGAAAAGCAATCAAAATTAAAGTCAGTGCATTTAACAAACTCCTGTGAACTTGTTGAATTACTGCAATAGAGAGAAACAAATCAAAGGAACCATCCAAGCTAAACTGAAACAAATCTGGGAAATCTGACCGTAGATTAAGGTTGCTGGAGAGGGGTTGGGAGAGGGCCAGTGGACTATGGTGGAGGTTTATGAATCCTTGGTGGTGGGTGTGGCAACATATATTTTAAGAGGTGTGCCCCTACACACCTAAGTCACACATGGTGTTGTAAAACTGCATTACCTCAATAAAAAAAATATTGAGATAGTTTTTGTACCACATCAGCTTAGTTCATTACAATGCTTACAATTGCTCTAAGGTAATTTTGACAGAACACATTTATACCCATTTTCCCCCACTTCCTGTTGACAGTCCAAAAGAAAAACAAAGAGATTAATGTCGCTCTTGGGGATGGAGCGTCTGAATACCTGTCGTTGTACATTCATAGTCAAAGCTGATCACATCATTCAGCTTCTTTTCCTGATATTCCGGGGGCCCAAAACACAGCACATCGGAGACAGTAGAATTTGTCATCTTCAACCACAGATACAACCATTTGGCTTTGCAATCACATTCAAACTTATTGCCCCTTAAATCTCTGAAAAATACAAACAAAACAAAACACACACACACACACACACAGAGAAACAGTCATATCTGACATGTTCCAGCAATAATGTGAAACTCTAGATGTACTAACATCATGTTATACTTCCTAACCCCCACGTGGACTTTTTTCAAATTACTTATATCTAAGACGTTTTACTTCTTGTATGTTATCAACCAAATTTATTTAATGGTCTTCATTGTCCATGGTATCAAGTGTGGAACATAGAGCTTTCCAAGATGACACATCACCATTTCTCCAAAGCCTCTTGAAACTGTCACCAAGCCACCTGCTGCAAATGGGGAAGGAATGCCAGAAGGACACCACCCATCAAAGGGTCTCAGAGCGAAAATGGGATAGTCGAGGAAGGCAGTTTTCACAATCACCACTGGCCTTGACGATCTCGTTAAACTACCTCCAGTAAGAAGTGCAAACACAAGAAGACTGGACACACTTAGTAGCATTAGCGTGTATGCTTCATGCTGTTAAGTATATTCTAAAACAGCAAATTCCAACCACACAGACTAGCTGATGTTTCCCTGCTTTGCTGGTTTTTTTTTTTTTTTCATAGATTTTTAGCTCTAACATTAAGGAAAATGCAATAAAGAGGGAGAGGGAATATAAAAGCACAATGAACTGGCACACAATGACAAGCACACATATACTTAATTTTCATTACTTACAGTTCAATCAGGGAGTCTAAATCACTGAAGACATCCCTCGGGAGTGCTTTTATGTGGTTATTGGCCAGAGAACTAGAACAAGAAAGTCACATCTTAATGTGGTTATTATCTCCATGCACTGTTATTCCAAAGCCCCTTAATAAAGCTAATGATTTAAAACAGAACTGTAAACCTCTTCAGCACCACAGAGTTGAATTTCTAGTTGTGGTCATTGACAGTGAGATAAAGAAATGTATTTAGTTATACAAAGATATTACGAATATTAGATTAAAGGTGCTGGAAGTCATACTCTCGTGTTTGCTTTGCTTTTAGAATAAGCATTAGTAAGCTCTTTACCTAGATTTGTCAAACCTCAGATGCCACCATATTCAGGGAAAAAGCCAGCATCCCTTTGATGCAGGCAAGACCCTCCATTGTCTCATTTTCTCCATCGCCTCTTACCCGTGGGAAAGAGGCAACGAAGTTTCTGAAGTCACCCACACTTTGCTGCTCCTCACACAGATGGGGCATAATCCCCCACTCAAAGTCTCAGAACTTGCTGTTCATCCAGTCGAAAAGTTCTTCCCCCAAATACTCACCTGGCTCACCCCATCACCTCCTTTGGGTCTGCCATCCACTGTCACCACCACCCCTGGCTGTGACCTCTACATGTCTTCCTTCCCTGCTCTGTTGTTCTTCACTGCACACTGTCACTGGGTAAATAAACTAGTTCAATGACCTACTTGGTGCTGAGACTTGTTATCTGCTTGTTGACTGATTATACATTCGCCCTACACATACGTCACAGGGGGACAGAAATTATATCTGTTTGTCCAAGTCTGAATCCTCAACTCCTAGAACAGGGCCTGGCACCCAGGAGGTACCTTGTTGAATGAATTATGCAATGAACAAGAATGACTTTTTAAAAATAATAAAGATGACAGTCTTGTCCCAGGAAGTTCCCTCAAGGTCTGTCAAAGAGAATGCCATGACTGTGGACTCCAACAGAAGACTCACTAAAGATCCTTGACTCCAGCAAAGCAAACACAGTACCATGGAATTCCAGCATCTTTAATCTAATATTTGTAATATCTTTGTCTAACTAAATGCATTGTATAATCTAAATGCATTTATTCAATGGTCTGTTGTCCAGACCATTGATAACACACAGTCTCAATATACCACACAGTCTAGGGCACGAGTGATTGTGATCAGTTTTGCCTCCTCATTAGCAAAAAGTTGACCAGACCCATTTTGAATTTGTGCTCTTGGTGTTGAAGATCTCTCTAGAATGTCCACTTCAAACCTCCAAGTCAAGTCTTCCTCTGATGACTCAGACTTTGCATTGCCCTGTCTCAGTCCTGCAGAGGACATACAAATGCAGCCTGCTGATGTGGAATATCCTGGTGTTGGAAGAGACACAAGAAGGCCGTGACTCCCCCAGACGGCATATTCCCATAACGAGTCAGCTGAGACAGTGATGCCTACTTTGGTTTTCTGGTATACATTGAATACAAATGGCTTGACACATAAACGATAAACACGTAGGCAACCCCTTTAAAGATGTAAGTGAAATTAGCCTTTTATAACATCATACTGACCCATTCCAGAAAGATGAATGAAAGATATGGGAACTCCCCTTTAGAATCAGCCAAATTAGAAAACTTTGAGTCTATTTGAAACATACTTGCATCAAGATGGCAACAGAAAAGGGAGACCTACAATTTCTGAATGATTCCTCCCCTCCCCATTTAGGGAGCCACAAATTGATGAAAATACAACTTTGTGTATTATCTTACTTTCTTTTTTAAATTATCTATTGTGCATTTTTAAAGATGTTGGAAAACAGGCTGAAACTGTCATCAGGTTAACTCTACTCTAGCAGTGACTTTCTGAAATAAAAAAAAAATGTGTTTGTGTCAATTTATTTTATGGTTGATGACCACTTTTTCCAGAAAGTTAAAAAAAAAAAAAAAAAAACCAACTAGTTCAAGGTGAATTATTTTGCTAATTACTTTTAGCTTATTGAAATGGATGCTACAGAGTGTTTAGAACATGCAGATTGGTCAAGGCCCCAAAATGTCTATCACCTGTTTCAAGAGTTCCATATAGATCTCACAGAGCCGAATCACGTAGATGGACAACCTAGCTTACTCACAGTGCTTAACATCTCCCTCTGCACTTCATTGTGTTTACAAATTCATGGCACTTACTTCATTTCTAAAACTACTTCAGGCAACCGGTACTTCACGGCAACCGGCCCCCAGGCAAGACCGCTGCTAACAGCCATCCTGGATTTCAGTTACACACTGGCTCCGCGCCTTTCTGCCCTGCAATCTGATCTCTGTCTCTTGACGTATGAATGTGAGACTTTAGTGGTTGGAAAAGCTCATAAAATATGAAAATCAGATACCTGATTTTCGAGTTCCCGCCACTCTGCTTTCCATTATGGTCGCACCAATTTACAGCCCCGCCCAGGGTGGGGGAGGGCTCCCTTCTCTCTACAGCCTCTCTAGTATTCTAACATTTTTTGTGATGTATCTTTTGGGTGCTAGCCATCATATGGAAATTCCAGATGATCCAGCTGCTCCACGTCTGGGCATTTACCAAGACAATACAAAGCACTAACGTGGAGAGCTTTGCAGCTACCACCAGTGTTTACCACAGGGTTTACCACTGGACAGCGCTGCTCACCCTGCCGACACTGGAACGACCTAAGTCTCCACGGGTTGATGAATGGATTAAGAAGGTACTTACACAGTGGGATACTATTAGCTATTAAAAAAGATAACAGTAAGTGATTTTCTGCCACTCACAATGACATGGAGAAACGTGAAGGGAATTATGCTTCACGAAATAAACCAGAGAAAGACACACACTGAATGATTTCACTTGTTTGTAGTCTAGAGAGAAAAGAAACAGACGGATGAACTGAACAAAACAAAAAATAAACGTTCGGACTGTGAGGCCAATTAATGGTTACCGGAAGGGAAGGAGGGAGAGGAATGAGAAAACCAGGATAAAAGGGACAAGGAGATGGTGAAGGACAGAATTAGAATTTCAGTAATGAACTTAATTTAGTATATACATATGTTGACTTGCCAGATGAACACCTGAAACTTATATAATGTTATAATGCTATGTCACGTCAAAAAAAAAGTCAGATGCTTAATTTACACAAGCAAATTGCAGACAGTGACTTCCTCAGACATAGGAGAGAACTTTAGAGAATGGATGTACTTTCCTTGCTTAGTTTATAACGTATCTGTGCTTTCTTACCTCAGACAGCTCCAGCCTTGAGGAATCAAGTTTAAACATGGAAAATCTAGGCCAGTGAGGAGCCCACCCGCCCTCTGGCCCATCAGAAGTGCTGCCTGCTGGGAGAGCCACAGTGATGACTGGGCAAGGGAAGTAAAGGGAAACTGGGATGGCTCCATGGTGGAGAGAGAACTTTAACCTGCACTCTGAAGAAAGAGCAAACTCCAGAAACTCTTGAGCAGAAGAAACAGCATCATCTTCAAGAAAAAAGGTATGAGGGAAAGAGAGGGGAGAGCTGGGTGTACCTGGGGGGTCCCCAGAGAGCCAGGGCTCTGAAGCCATTTAGGGAAATGAGCCATTTTGGGGAGGGGACCCTGAGCTGGAGTGGAGGGTTGACGGTCACACTCACTGGAAGGGCCCAGATTGCCTCAAATGTGTCAAATGCACCCTGCACCCTGGACTCAAGTAGGGGACTCTTCATGTTCTCTGCATGTCACGTGGAAAATGAGGTGTCTCTTACACATGGGCACACAGGTTGTAAACGTACGGTCGTGTGAGCAACAGTGTAAGCATGCACACACAAACACAGCTATGGACACACAAGCATGCCCCCATGGGGACACATACATAAAGCTATGCAAATACACATTCTCACACCGGCTTTCAACCAGGGACCCAGAGCCAATGGGCCAAATGACAATCGCCATCTGGGCTAACTCAGCCAGTCACGAGGAATTTGAGTTAGGTATGGTCTCTGCCCAGAGCCTTTGCTCAAAAACAAAGCCCCTTATCCCTGACTCCAGGAAGCGAACTGATCTGCCTACAGCTGTCCCTCTCTCCAGGCGCACACAGCTGTCTTTTGAGAAGACCCTATCTGGCCACCCAAACTGCCAAGCTACTCAACAGTCTACGGAGAAAACAGACTTCTCATGAGTGGAGGGAGGGCATGGTGTAGCTGCTGCTGGCGATGACAACAGCAGAAGCCGCCAGACCTGGAGCGGGCTGGCCGCTTTTGCAAGGCAGCATGGACACACAAAGGGCCACACACCTCTGGTGATCGCCCCTCCTTAATATCGCCACCATAAGGGTGAGAAAAGTGAGGTTGAACACGGCCAACTATTAATAAAGGGCAGCCTTGAGATTTCAACCCAAGCCCACATTCTTGTCTCTTTTAGAATCCAGGGATTTGACTGCATCTGAAAAAAATCTAAACATTTATCAAGGCTGCCCTACGAAGACAGGGAAACCTGCAGAAATCGCGCCAACAAGAATCTGGTACTTCCAGGGTCGACGGTGCGAACCAGATGTGTGGCTCTGCCCCTCTGTTCCCTCATCTGCTTACTCTACAAGCTTTAACTCACACAGAGCTTCTGTGTGGAGGATTCCAGAGTCAAGAGCTCGCTGAGCTTTCTGGCAAACATATTTGCCTGTATTGGGGCTTGATGTGAATCTCTTAAGTGCACCCCTGTCCAATAATCCCTTTCAGAGCCCCCCAGTTTTCCCTTTATTGCAGACAGACTGACAGAAGAGATGAGACATGTTATCTCACTCAAATATAAAATATCTATCATGTATCTAGACCTGGTTCCTGGCGAATAAAACTGTCCCTACCAGAACAGTGACTCTCTTCACATTTTCATAAACACAGCCAGCAGCTTTTCCAGTTTTCTAAATTTGCTAAGTGTGTGTACTTGCTTCATTCTGATCTGCCAATTCAATCAATTTGTTTAATTTATTTCCCCCCAGAAAGCTATTAAAGAACCCAAAGAGCTTAGCTTAAGCCATACATTAATCCAACATAAAAGAAACAGCTATTTGCATTCAAATTACAGAAACCACAAAAATGTCTCTATTCTACTTCAAAGGAATCATCAAAGTCTGAGTTCCCAAATCTGTAAAATGGGACGCTCAGATTCTCGAGAATGACAGAGTGTGTTCTGTGAGCCACCCAGCCCTGGGCCTGGCACACAGTAGGTATACTACCCCGTAGCTTCCTTCGACCATCCCCACACCCCAAGACTGAGAGTGCTTCCATCGTCACAGCCAGCTGTGGTCAGGATGATGGAAAGATAATAAAGCCAAGTTCACTTGTGGCTTAATGACACTTCCGTCAACAGTAGCGGTCCCACCAGGCAGCGGGCTCTCCCATCCAGGTCTGTGCGAGCACACTCATTACCTGTGCACACAGGTGACATCACCCAACGACACGCTTCTCAGACATCACCTTTTGTTATGCAACACATGTCTGCAGCACAAGGGGCTGGTGTCTTAGCCACAGCGTAGAGATGCCCTGGAAGTACGTTTCTTCAGAGCATGTTGACGTGAGGACAAACCATCAAGAAGGAAAGGGCTCTGGACGAGTGCCATGCTACACGTGAATAGAACAAACACTTCACAGGACTTACAGGTGAGTCAGGTCACGGAGGCCACGAAAGGCATTTCTGGAGATGGTTTCTATTTTGTTCCCTTCAATGAACCTAAGGAGAACAGCAGGATCATCAAGTTGAATATCCTCTGCTTGGCAGCTCTAAAAAAAAATGGTATTGGGCTGCTCTGGGAATAAAGACTAGGAACATTTAAGTATGCTAAAAACACGTCTCTGAGACAAGGTCAGCGACGCCAGATTCCTCGTGGGAGAGGGTGTGTGAGCAAATACAGGCACTCAACCGTGTGCACTGCATTCACAGAGCAGCCTGGGTGTCTTCTGATTCAGAGCCTCAACGTGAGCAAAGACATCTTGGGGGGCAGGAGGGGGTGGGTGGGAAGAAAGCGCTAAATCAAAGGCGAGAGATCCTTGTACCTCTGGAACACTTCCAAACATCTCCCCGCTCAAACTCTCTTACGTTTCACAGAGCCTGGTTATTAATACTTTTGCTAGTATTGTTGTCCCTGGGGGAGCCCTTTGTTTTATGTCCATAGTAAAGTTTTCGCTGAGGAAGAGTTCCATTAAGCTTTCCCTTCAGCACACTTGGGTGCATCGTGTCCTACACAGCCTAAGCCCTGAACTGAAGGGTGACAAGGGAAGATTTCTGAAGATCTCATGCCACTAGGGCTAGGAAGTGTAGCTAAAATGTCTTCAGGTTTGCACGCAGGACCTTGCAATAACAACTCTGGTCATGCTTAGTTGTCTTGGTGGAAAATCTTTGAAGCGGATGCACTGGGATTATACTCTAGGGTCACAGAGAACTAAGTTTTAGTTTATAGCATCGCATCATATCAAATGAAAGTGTGTTCTCTGATGAGCTTCAGAAGACAATGGCTTTCATTCATTGTTGCCTTGAGAACTCACCGGCGCTTGTCTTATAAAAATCAGGGGTCTGATCATAGGTTCCCGAACCTACACTGATGATAAACTGATAGGATAATCTCTAAACCAGTAAGAACTTCCTCCTCAATAGCCATGAGAGTAAAATGAACTGTGACCAAGAGAAAACTGGTAGCTTTACATTGCCTGCATCCATCAGCTGTTTTTCTTTAAGATGTATTTATTGTCTTGTTTATTTATGCATGCAAGAGCTGGGGTACAGGCCAGAGGCGGTGGGGGGAGGGGGGAGAGGATCTACCAGAGACAGAGTGGGGAGCAGAACAGGCAGATTGAGGAAGTACACTGCTGAGGGGAGCAGCGGGCGGGTCAGGAGAGGTCTGCTGCGACACGGGGGTCAGCTCCCTGGTCGGGGATCAAACTCCAGCGGCAGTGATTGGTGACAGCTTGATAGCGCAGACTTAAGCCCTTGCACCAGCAGAGGGGCCCCCCATCAGCTAATTATGCTGCTTTGAAAGGCTGTCCCCAGTTTTCACCTAGGGGGACTCGCTTTCCCCCTAGTTTGGGAACTATCAGCACAGTGCCCATGCCATGCGTTCTCTGGAGAAAGAACCCTGCAGAGACATTTTTTGCAAGATGTCATAAAGACTGACATAAAGTCAGCCGAGAGCTTTCTGAGGCCAGGAATGGCTTCGAATCCAAACGTCACCTGTTAGTCTCAGATAGGAAATCAGAGACAAGGCTCTGAAATCCCTCTGGATGCAAAGTGGACACTGGGCAGCGTGATGACCATTATTAGAAAGTGACAAAAGACAAAGGTGAACTAACTTGGGAGGAAAAGAGATGATTTGAAAATGGGAAGGGGCAGAAACCAGGCAAAACTTGTTGCTCGGGAAGAGCACTGAGCATCTGAAACAGGGAATGACCTGCTTCCCTACAGGAAAGAAGCAGGAGAGAACTGTGGAAGTATAAACAAAGTTGCGGCCCAGAACAGGGTGACTTTATTTAAAAATAAGTAACCGTCAGAATCCTTCTGGCTGATCAGCAAATCCACGCAGTTATGGGAGGTAAAAATATCCAAGGCAATTTCCAATTGTGCTTACTACGTGACGAATTAAATGTCAGCAGAGAATGAATCTTTCCTTCTTTGTTTCATTTCCCTCTCTTGGTCCCCAGCCTCCTCCTATCCCAGCCTGTTTATATGCAGTTAACTTGAAAAGGTCAGTGCTACAGAAAATAGGATTTTCTTTATTCTGTCCACCCCTCAGCTCCCTGGAAGATGCTGCTCTAGCTAGGGAGGCAAGCCAGCAATGCCCGGGACACAGCTAACCCTCGGCCCAGAGACAAGGCACAAAACTCACAGGTATTCGAGATGAAAAAGTCCAGCAAAGGCATCATCCCGGATGACTGTAAAGGAGTTAGAATTCAGCAATCTGGAAACAAAGGACAGATTTCAATGGAGAGACGTCAAATCTACATGTGGTGATGCCTCTTTGTTTCTTCAGCTGTGTCCTGGGTGGTGAGCAGCCACAGACTGTTCTCAGCCTGATACTGACCATAGGGTGTGTGACCCCCCACACACAAACAGGTGTTGGTGCACACTGACAGGGAACTTGATTCCCGCTGGCCAGCTCTTGTGGTCACCCTTCTTCCTCCTCCCTTTCTCCCCTGTAGATCTTCATTAATATGACCTGGTAGCTGTTATTTCAAAATATTCAAATGCGCAGCAAAATTGTCAATGCGTGCATTATCATACACAAGAAATCACAGAATTAGAGATCTCAAAGATCAATTACAGCTCTTCCTTCAAAATATCTGAGCCCAAAGTAGCTAAATGATTTCATCAAAGTCACACAGAGACAAAAAAATAAGTCCTTCTGCTATATTATATTCATTTCCATGAGATGGGGGGGGCATAAGAAAAATTCAGGAGATTCTCCAGATTTTTGTATGTGTCACTGCTTAAATCTATTTGATAAAAGATCATATAGTTTATATAGTGACCAGTAAGTTTATTTCGTAAAACACACAGACTTATACTAGGATCATATAGAAACTATGATTTAAAAGAGGTACAGTCTCGAAAAATTTCACATTTTAAAAGGATAATATGAAGTTATGCGTAGGTACAGGACATCTCAAGAACAAAAAATTTCAATATTAAATTTATTTAGAATGTGCATCCCTTGTTCTTCTGTTTTCTGTTGTCTGCTTTAATGTCGACCTCATGTGAAGTTAAAAAAAAATCAATACAGAGAAAGATAACAAGCTATATATTCCTGAGAATTCCTGTCACTAAGGTGCTTTTGAAAACTGCTTCTTGGACATTTTTTTCCATCGAAAATATTCACTGCCCTGGGCTACGGGGCACCACCAGGCATGGCTAAGAGTGGCTGGAGGCAAGTGACGACAGAGTAGGTTAGAATTCTCACAGGCATTTGGAACAACTTGTTTAGTTTTCCTGCACCTCAGTTTTATCATCTGTCAAATGGGGAAATAAAAATACCTTCCTTGTAGAGATGATGACGAAATCAAATTACATGTTTAAATGCCTAGTAAGCTGCCCCACAGTTTATGCACAAACCAGAAGTACTTTTATTTCCAGAGTAACATTAAGAGCTTCGAAGGTAGGTTTCCTTTTAAAGCGAGGTATTTTGGGAAAGAGTTCAATTCGGTAATGTTCCGGTCATCATTCAATGGACTTGTGTCCCCGATCTGTGGAGCTGGGCATTGAGATCTACAGTAAATGGTGCAGTTTAAGTGCAAGGACTCAGCGTGGTGGCGACCCCAGAGCCAAATGATACCAAAAGCGACCACGTTTACTCTTGAGCCTGGGCGGAGGGGGGGCTGAGGGCCGAGAACCGGGGTCACTCTTCCCCCAGACACCCGTTTTCGGAGAGAATTTCCCATACTTACAGCAGCTGCAGGGAAGGCAGGTGGGAAAACATTCGGTCCTTGATTTCCGAGAATGTTCCATTTACCAGGCTCCTACAGGCAAAAGAGGAAGGACTCAAGGCCCAGGTTTCTTCCCCAAGTGCCGGGCAGGGTGGCCACGCCCTCTGAGGCTGCTCCCACATTCTAAACTCCTCCTCTCAGAAGTGAGGTTTAAAATTGCTGGCCGGTGGCTTCTCGGGAGGAAAAACTGGGAGGCTCAGACCATTTTGCAATGAGCCAGACCAATGTAAAATCTAGTCTGAACAACGGAAAACTTCCCCACCAGTCAGGTGAACTCGGCAGGTTTAAATCAACACCCTGGCTTCTTTTCCCACCTACAGGAGACCCTGGCTGAACCTGGAATAGTTGCTTTACCTCTGCTACAACTCTGTTGGGCTAGACTTAGGGCCACTGCTGCCCACGAATTCCCGGATGGGGCATTCTCTCAGGTGTGCATCTCTGAAAGTCACTCAGAGCCCAGTTGATGAAATGCACCATGAAAGGTGGGGAAAAACTCAGAGACACCTGAACTTGAGTGTGTACTGCAGGCATCACCATCTGCCACACGCAGGGTCTGCTCAGGGCCAGAGGCAGGGCTCTGCTTTGGCCACCTGGTCCCCTATCATTTCAGGGCCCAGCAGAATCTCTGTTACTTCAGGATTCTTTGAGTGAGCCTGCAGATTAATGAGGCAGCTGCTGATCTAAAGGATTTAACAAGGGAATTCTAGTTTCTGGAACCCTCCTCATCACCTGACTTAGCAATACTAAGCATCAAAAAGGCACTGCTGAACTCCAAGCTTTCTAGAAATGCAAACAAGGACCCCTCCATGCCTGGGTCCCAGTCCCTATCTGCACCTGGGCTAGACCAGATGCCAGGAGTAAAGTACAAGACAGAGTGCCCAGCACACCAGCAACTTCGCCAGCAGGAACTCCCTGCCTCCATGACTGTATCTGGAAGAGGGAGTAGGTTCAGCAGAAAACATCTCCCAGCAGGAAAGCTATGACTTTCGAGCCCCTTCCACAGCCATTATGAGAGCCCGTCATGTGACTGAGTGGCTGTGTGAGGGCAGGCTGAAAGCAGCTCTTAGCAGGTGAATAAGACTAGCCCTTTCGTGTCAGTTCCTCCAGCGCTGAAAAAGATGCCAATATGATGAGCAGTGAGGAGAAGAGGCAAGACCCCTTGTGAACTTGGGCTTAGAAGTCAGGCTGACTTGGAGCACTTCCCCACTGGGCGGGGTACTCCTCACCCCACCCCACCCCACCAACCACTCCACCAAGCCCTCCTGCGCCCCTTCTCCTGGTCACATGGGTGTCCTCCCCCACTTCCAGAGGCTGAATGCCTTCACCCTGGTCTTCCAGACCTGCATGGTGGAGAGGTGGGTAGGAGAGCGCTGTGTAAACCCCAGCAGAGCGCTGAGGTGGGACAGGGAGGCCCCACCCCTTCCTAGCTGCAACTCACTCTGGTCAGGGTCTCTGCAGGGACAAGTCTCAACAACACCCTCCCACCCCCCCATCACCTTCCCCTCCACACACAAACACATATCCTTTCAAACTTTGGTGCACCCCAGAATCACCTGGAGTTGCCAAATGCAGACTCCAGGTCTCCACTCCGGAGACCCAGCTTCAGCAGCGGCCCTGGAATCTGCATTGGCACATGCTCCCCCAGGCGGGTCTGGTGCAGATGGCCCGCGGGCCACACTTGGGGAAACACTGCCACAGCGACTTGTCTGGATTCCCAGACGCTGGCCCCGCGCCGCCTTCCACCCTCCCTCCGCCGAGCGTCCATCCACCTGGCGCGGGGCGCCCCCCACCCAGACGAAAAGAGAGGCCGGGAGTGGAGTCGGGGTCGCGCTGTCCCAGCACCAGAGCAACTCCCAGGCGGCGGCCGGAGCGGGGTAGGGCGGGGCGGGGGTCGGAGGGTCCCACTCACTCACTCACAGGGAGCTGATGTCGCCGGGCACGATCCTGGGCACCCAGGAGGAGCCCACGCAGATGATGGACTCCTTGGTGCAGCTGCAAGTGGCGGGGCAGCGCGCCAGGCGCCTCACCTGCGCGCCCGGCGGGATCAGGCACGCGGCGCTCAGCAGCAGCAACAGCCGCCCCAGC